TTAAAATGCACTTTTGTTATATATATATATATATATATATATATATATACAGCTGACAAATATCTGTGCATGTTGCTCTTTTTCAAGATAATATCAAAGTGAAAATGCAGAAATTTTGAAAGTTTTTTTTTTTAAATTACCGGACGATAAGTGACATAATTTGGCTGGAAATGAAGGAACTAACTTTTTCGCTTTAAATTAGAGTATTTTCTTTAATAATGGGTTACTTGTGGGCTCTATTCTAAGCTTGTGAATGCAAAAGGGAGGGGCCGAATATGTAGTAAGATTTTGCAGATAATTATTACTCTTCTGTCTGCTCCGTTTCTAAATTACGCTTACGCGGAAACTATAGTGTACAAAAAGGTACATTTAAACATGCCTTATATTTAATAAAATTTACTTTTACATTCATCCTCACGATAATATATTGGCAGGTTTGGTTATGTCTAACACAGTTGTGACAAAAGCTTCATAGGTTAGCAAAATACTTTGCAACTGAAATTTGTTCCTTGTTTCTGATTCCTTTAAATTGGCTTCACTTGCATTTGAGCAAATTCAGACTAAGTTTTCCGGTTCCTGGAAGGGTTGTTTTTTTAAACTTTTTTGCTTATATTGGTTTTCTTCCATAACACAACGCATAACAATTCAAGGTTTGGTTCTTTCGTACTTAATAGCATAGGAAATACCCTCGATGTCGGGCTACCTACGATTTCGTCAAACTTGATCCCTATTTCCGTCAATAAACTGAACGGAAAAGACAGTCTTCCTTAACCAAAAAACTTCTCAGGATTAAATCTACTCATATGATCAAAAGAACGTGGCCAGCTTTTGGAGAAACTACCAAGTTAAATTTCTTCATGACCTGTGCACGAATTCGTAGACATACTGTAAGTAATTATTTTTTACAATGTCATTTTCTGCCGCTGACCGGAAGGAAATTCGTGAAAGCTAGCATCCTGACGTCAGGGCAGGATAGGTCAGGTTTTATTAAGGGAAATGTAGGTAAATACCTTTGAACTCCCTGTTGGTACCGAACAGTTATGCAGTGCATTGTTTCAGCAGAGCATTTTAGAGGAGTGGCGTTGCCAGTAAATGGAACTGGGTAAAAATAGGGCCGACAGTGAAACAACTGCTTAGGCATTGTTCAGAAATTCTAGGGGTTTGAATGCCATCTGAGAGATTTTAAGGAGAAAAACTGTCGGCCGTAAAGGGTGGGGGGAGGAGAGTATATTCAAGTCGAATGGCCTGTGCTAAGAGTGTTTGAAGCATGTCCGGAGGAGCCTGTCGCGG